TTATTTTATTCAAAAACACTTTTTTAAAAAAAATGGTTCTGTAGTTACTGTATGCGTTTGTATTTTTTGTTATGCTACGCGTGCTATTAGCTCCTCCAGTGCACGTTCTTTGTGGTTCTCGTGCACCAGCAGAACTTCTTTGATTGTGTTCTGCTGAAAGCCCATCTCATGAAACTGACTCAGCAACTGAAGGAACTCCTCAGCCTCAATAAGGAGGAGAAGAAGAAGGAGGAGGAGGAGGAGGAGGAAGAGAAGAAGGAAGAGGAGGAGGAAAAGAAAAAGATAAGACATCTCTGTTTGTAATCACAGATGTTGTAAAGTCTTACGACACTGAGGGTTCTTACCTTTGTTTCGCAGTTTTGAAACATCTCCAGAGCTTCTTCTACCTGAACCATGTCATAACCCAACTGACACAGGTGATCGCACGCAACCAGGTAATTCAAGATCTGCAGAAAAAACACACAATTGGTTTATTTTAAGCACAAACATAACCCTAAATTTAATCAATACATCTGTCCTGTACTCTGTCATATGCAGTATTTCCCCCCATAGAGACAGTTTATTATGGTACTGTGTATTGTAATGTCAGCAGCAGATGTGGCTGTGAGTGTCAGCGTAAAGGTCAGACTGACTAAGCTGACTGACCTCCTCTGGCATCTGCGTGCCCGTCTTCTGCAGGGCGATGATGGCCGTACGGAGTGGATATCCCCGCGCTGTGACGGCTTCCAGCAGCTCATTCTCCTCTGAGCTCAGAGCTGACAGAAGTTCTGCTGTTGAGTCTGAGCCAGAGGATCGAAGACCCTGGTGGGTTGAGGTCAACAGAGGGTTCCTACAGGAGTCTGGACTCAGAGTTGCCTGGGAACCAAAAGAGTGTGGAGAATGAGCTAAGGATAGAACAAAGCAGCAGACACTGACACACACAGTTGCACTGTTGGTTGAACGTGTCACATTCTTTGTCTAACTGGGACTGAAGGGGAATAACACTGAGATCCAGATCCAGTTAATCCTCTAGAGCCCCCTGCTGGACAGCCAGCAGCAGACTTTACACATTCTATATTTGGAGAAAAGGCACGTTTAAGTGTTAGTGGAGGAAGAAAACTCCACCTAGGATAAAAAGGATGGGTTTTCTTTTCTAACACACTGATAATGACCTAAGAAAGACGTGAAGGTCACGGACACCTGGAGGTTTTAAGCTTCCTGAGATCAAACCTGGATAGAAAAGGGTGAAGCCATTCTGCTGTGCTGTGGAGTGACTGCTGTCTGGTCCAGGCCGGTTGATTTATAGTCTGATCTGTATTAGCCTGTGTTTACACGTAGTGAAAGTGACGGCTATTTATATCGCAGATCGCAGAGTATTAGCTCTACGTCAACCACAACTCTCAGAAACAGTGTTGGAATCTTGTTATCACGCTGAAATAGTAGACAGTAAAAAAAGGTCAACATCAATATACACACTATATATGGAACACAGGAACATATATGTATCAAAGATGCTAACTAGTTAGCAGAAAACAAAAATAGACCCAAAACAGTCTTTTCAAAATAAAATAGCAAATTTGTTGTTTTATTATTTCTGGCCTAACAATTGTCATAAACATATACCTAATGTAAACAACTTCAGTTGGCCACATCATACTAAAGGAAAAAGAGGAAAAAGAAAACTACAAAAAAGAAAGGTTTGCTAACATAGTAGCCAGATAGTGAGCTACAAACCACTAAAGGCTAACGAATGACTAGCCTTCAGCTAAATTTTGTTTTAAAATATTTAATACTAACTAAAAGTTATTTTAAATAGCACCTTTGACTTTTTTTTGCAGAGAGCAGACGTGTTGAAGTGTTGGTCTGTAAAATGTGTTTTTATGAAACCTGAATTTCTTCATTTCTGTGTTTTTAAAGCCTTACCATGGAGTTGTGACTGATGATGGTGGGGAGCTTCATGACTGCACCAGCTTTTGTTGTCGTGTTGGAGATTCCAGAATTCTGGGTGATTCTGCATGAGGACAGGTGCTGCACATGGTTCCCAGGTTCTGACTCCCTCTGTGTAAATGTTTTCTGTAAGTTTAGGGAACACTGTCGTAGGTTCTTCCTGCGCTGATGAGGCAAACTGCTCAGACAGGCCGGAGGATTCAGCAGATCTGGGACGAAGGCCTTCTGCTGGCCACGGTGGTGTGAAGGTGATGGACGTTCTCCATCTGAAGGCTTTGTCTCCAACACACCTGTCTGCGCTTTACTCCTGGTGCCGTCTTCTTCATCCTCAGACTCCGAGATGGTGAACTTGGTCCGCAGCACGGACAGGTTGAGGCTGTGGGACCGCTGTCGAGGGTTGGGCTCCCAGAAGTCTGAGCTGTGGCGGCTGGCGAGGCGGCTTTGCTGCGGGCTGTTGAACATCATCCAGTAGGGTGGACACGATGGCTGCGTTCCTGATGAACATGAAGACGGCTGAGGCTGCTGTTGGCTGGTGAATCCACTCTGTAGACCAGTCAGGACCCACTTCTCCAGGTGGAACTCATACTGTCACGATGGAGACACAAGATATTTACATACGGTGGCAGAAACCAATGTCTTGTGTACAGTCAAAACAAAACTGATTATCTTCAGTAACTAACAGTAACTAGCCTAAAGCTAATTGTGTAATAATGATAATGATGATAATAATATAATATGTAATAATGTAATAATGATAATTATTGTATACAAAAATGCTAATGTCATCCCACTGGTAAATGTTTTTTGACTCGTGGGCCACAATGGGGTCAGGAGCAGAGTTCGTGTAAACTAAGATAAATGACATGCACAAAGACTGAAATGCTGAAATGCTTTTAGCCTTTTCCACGCCATCTATTGGGGAAATGCAGGCATTGCAAGGAACCAACACGCCCCAGTGGCCTAATGGATAAGGCACTGGCCTCCTAAGCCAGGGATTGTGGGTTCGAGTCCCATCTGGGGTGTAGGTAATAATATTTAACATTTTCAACGGCCTTAAAAAGGCAGGAGACCTTTAGGATAATTTAAATGGGGTTATTATAAATTATTTTAAAATAATCTTAAAAATAATTCTGTGGCTTTGAAAGTCATTTTTCTTTCTATTTTGTCTTTTCCAACTGAAAACTTCCATTTCTTGCCTCAATACTTATTCACTCTTGATAGTTTCACTTGTTACTGTTGACCCTACTGGAAAACAGGCAGAAGGCATGGATTTAGCCACAGGTTGCCCAATTCAACAGGAGATTAGCTGCAGGTGCGTCTGGTACCGTGATTAAAAACAGCAGAAGTGACGCAGTTTGAAGTGCTGACGTCAAAGCTTCACGACTAGACTGGACCTAGCGTCGAGCGTAAACACTGGACGAGTTTTACAGGTGTAACGTCCTCACCCTGGTCTCCTGCAGAGAGGTGAGGTAATCTGGGACGGTGATGATGACGTCGTCCATGACTATCTGTGAGACAGGCTGAGGCATCTTTAGAGGGACACCGTCCATAATGTCCACTTCACAGAGAGACGCACCAGAGTTTGGACTGGTCCTGTTGAGACATTCACCAAAGTGAATACAAATCACAGATTACATCAACTTCCTGAAAGACTGTGTCCATTCAGGTCCTGTTTCTATTGACCAAAAATCACTACTACATTTAATCATGATTCAATAAGGAACAGAAATTATTGATAACAACAAACAACATTTTTTAAATAATTATTCTATATATTTTTTAATGAAACAGCTGGTCTTAAAAAAGTAGTATAAAAGTGAATAAATAAAAGTGATGATTTGAGTTGTGCTGTTTAAGATAATCACAAAGATTCTTCAATATCAAACAGATGGTCCTGGACTCAACAGAGGGAGAGAAAAAAAACCAGATGGTCCTGGACTCAACAGAGGGAGAAAAAACAGATGCTCAAAGATTACTGTGTCTCTAACACATTAGTGTCAGTCTGTCCTGACTAATGTTGTGTTTTCAGGTAATTTCAGTCTCTGAACCCACTGTTAAAACAATACATTAACAACAAGATACATCAAAATTAAAGCTGTTTTTTTCCCACATTCGCTGCAGTTGACAAGAGTTAAATTACAGAGGAATCGGACTTGTAGCAACACAACAGCGTCTGTAAAGCACACTTTTGAGTAAACCTAATTACCCGATTGGTGAAAAACAGGAATTTCAATCTTACCTGTGTTTGTTGAATGTGAGAGTCTGTGTTTGTGTCTGTAAAGACTTCACTCTGCTGCAGCTCCTGGTTTTAAACTAATCTCCTGACCTGCAGTAAACCCCATCATCTGATTAACTGCTCACACACACACAATCACTCCCACACACAGAAAACAGAGTAAAGCGTACACCTTTGCATACATTTTGATGACAGAAAACACAAGATTGTTTTTCTTTTAACAATATAGTCCAATAAAAATACATTGACAGTTTAATTTAACTGTACAGTTACAACACAACGTGTGTCAGTGACACACACTGCTTTTTGTGCAATTATTCTAAATTAGAGGAACTTCATTAGACAGGGTAAGTGTTTCCAAGAAGTAAGATCTGTGTGGCCTCTGGCGGTTTGTTAGGGAATTGCAGGCAGGAGTTCAAAAAGGACAAACGACGTTTGATTTTTTTTTTTTAATAACAAATTAATTCAAACACAAAAAGAGATTTGACAGAAACGTTCATTACCTCAACATTACAAACATGGTTTTGTCTCTGTGCGTTGATACCAAATACGTGGCAGCACATGATGTACTTACAGCAGAGTTTTCATTCATAGATGAGATTTGAAACATGTCTTCAGTCTTCAGTGGGCAGCATCTGTCTCAGTCGTTATCAGCAGTTTGCAGAGCGACCGCCCAGTCCTTGTCTGATGGAGGGTCAGGGATGACCCAGCTCTGAGGAACTGAAGAACCTTCTGGATGATCTGCTCCGACTATAAACCCATCCCAATCTCTCCTAAAGACAGATTAGTCAAATTAATTAGATTTTTTTTTATAACCATTTCAACACAAACTCAGAATGATGTGCAATTTACAAAAAAAAGAAAAAATGTTTGTCATCAAGGAATGTTTAATCACCATAAAAATGAATAATAATTAATTACAATTAGTATGAATGTATCCACAGATGCCACTCTGATTAATCAGATTAAAGGAAACCAATCAAATTCCAGGTTAATCATGTCTGCAGAAAGACTTTATTATGACTCCCCGTAGAGGACATTTTTGATATGGCGTTGTACCAATATAACAACTTTATATATGACTCACCTGATTTGTACCAAGGCGTGCAGTGAGTGCTCGGCCTGGGTGTAGTAATTTCTGAACGGTTGCAAAAGAAGATCGACAGGAGCTTCATCTGGAAAAAGAAAAAGAAAAAAAAGTTAAACTAAAATGTCAAAATAAATAAATAAACCAGATCTGTGTATGGAGATGATGCTTACCTCCAAACAGCATTGCATCCACTTCCTGTTTCTTCTGCAGCTGTCGCTCCCTTTCCTTTTTCAGCCGTCGTTCCTGCTCCTTTCTCCTCTCCTCCTCCTGCTCTCCTTCCAGCATCACCATCAGAGCGTTTTCCTCAGCGGCGTAAATGGTGGTTCTTTT